ATTCACTGGGCTGACAAGTACCTCTGCTGTTTCCAGGGTAGGCTGAGTCATAAGTTCCCCCACCGAAGTGAAGGGGTGGGAAGGTAGGGTGGGAGCCAGGGTCACAGGCGCCTCTGCCATGCCTGGCTTTGTTAGATTTGCAGGCACCGCTGCCAGTGGTGTGGGGGCTGGAGTTGTGGGGCTGCTGCAGGTCAATGGGACCAGGGTCATGGGTTCTACTGTTGCTGTTACCAGTTTCTTCACAGTCTCGGGCACTGTTGCTGGATGTCCCCTCTATGCTGCTACTCCTGGGTTTTCTGGGAGTTTAGCAGTTCCCATGCCTGGGGCACTGAGTTTATGGGTATCACCACCACTGCCAGGTGTGCCAGCATCATGGGCACCACTGCCACAGCCATGGCAGGAGGGGTCCCTGGGTCCCAGGTCCTGCAGTTCCTGGAGCCTCATGTTGTAGGTACTGCCACTACTGCTGGAGAGGGGAGGGGACTGAGTAATTGCAAGTGATGCTGTGGTTCCTGATGCTTCTGGTCTTGGGTGCCAGCACAGTTTCTGGAACCTCAGGTCATGGGCACTGTGGGAAGCATTCCCCCAATCTAGCTGCCATTGTATTGTGACAAGGTCTGGCAATGGAAGGAGAATCGTGCAAGGCACTTCTCCAGGGAACATAATTCTTTAAGCAGAGTCCTTTGTCCTCCTTTCTAAAGCCTATTACTGATTAACGTCTTCCCTCTGTCCTGGAAGCCTTGTAAAAACAGGCAGAACTAGCAATAAACATATCTCAAAGAACAAACAGCAGCCCCCAAGGATGCGGGGGTCTATATTCTGTTAATTATATACTCGCTGCCCTCCTAACTTCTTTGAAGACCCTGAAACTATGTAACCTCTTCCTAAACAATCGATATGTATGCTGCACATCTGGATGTAGATAACCACCTTTGATTATTACCTTTAGTCACGCACTGCCCCTCACCTATTGTTCCCATGACGACAACAGTTAGACCACCTCGTGTGATTTTTTCCTATATAAGTGTACCCCGTCCCCGAAATAAATTGGACTTGCTTGCAACTGCTTCTAGTCTCACGTCTAGCACTTACACTTTCGCCGACGCCGTCTCTCCCGTGGGAACCTGGACTCTGCTGAGGCTGGACCCTGGCAGGGCACCACCACCACTATCCTGTGGCCCAGGGTCTTGGATTCAGCCCCCACTGCTGGGAGGACCAGCCTCAGAGGTGCCACCACTGGGAGAGGGGCTTGAGGCTGGGTCACACACTCCGTGGCATTTCCTGGAGCCTCCAGTTGCATACATCATAGCAGTTTCTAGAGTCTTGGGTCATGGTCACCACTGCCACTGCGTGGAGATAGGGAGGGGCTGAGTCATGAGCACTGCTGCAGTTCCTGGAACCTCAGATCACAAGCATAGCCACCAATGCTGGAGGTACCAGTGTCTTGGATGCAGCCCCTGCTGCTGGGAGGGCCAGGGTTCGAGGCACTGCCTGTCAGGAACATGGAGGGGCCTGCGTCTTGGGACCACTTCAGTTCCTAGAACCTTGGTCTTGGGCACTTTGGTGCTTCCTGGCGCCTCTGGGAGTGTAGACTGCCTCAGTTCCTGGAGCTTCTGTTCATGGTCATTTCTGCAGTCCCTACAGCCTCTGGTTGCAGGCACCACCACAGTTCCTGGGGCCTCCGATTTTGGGAGCGGGAGCTGCTTCTGCTGCTCCCCTGGTTCCACCACATCCACAATATCCAGTCCACCTGCCTTCAGATGTATAGATGCATGGATCTCTCGGGCATTTTTGTGGGCTGTGCAGAGAATCCTTTGTTGGTCTATGGATGTCCTAATGGTTGTAACTTAGAGGGGAAAAACAAGGGGAGCAACTCACTCTACCGTGATGCTGATGTCACTCCTCCTCCTTTTGTCTTTGTTTTTCTTTTTCTTTGTTTGCCTTAAAATTCCAAATGCTTTCCTGTCTGTTAAAATCAACATTGTAGATATTTTCAGCACATCACAAATTTGCCTGGCAAACACGTTAATGTATTCAACACACAAATGAACATTTCAATTAACAAGATCAGCCCCCCTTACAAAATAGGATTGGTCATAAATGACACAGCATTCTTTTTATTATAATTCTAAATAAGAATTATTTATTATGGAATGTGGGAGCTTTTAGCATAACAGTAACAGCAGCAGCAAGACAAATATATAGAAGAGCTAATTATAAGAAACAAACACTAGGAAGAAGAAATTTTTATCTTTGTAAGTAGACAATACATGTTTTTTAGGACTCTCAAAAGAAGAGGACAAATTAATGTGTTTTCATCATAATTTAAAATTAATTTTTTTTTTGAGGAAGATTAGCCCTGAGCTAACTACTGCCTGTCCTCCTCTTTTTGCTGAGGAAGCCTGGCCCTGAGCTAACATCTGTGCCCATCTTCCTCTACTTTATATGTGGGACGCCTGCCACAGCATGGCATGCCAAGCGGTGTCATGTCTGCACCCGGGATCCGAACCAGTGAACCCCGGGCCTCCAAGAAGCGGAACATGCGAACTTAACCGCTGTGCCACCAGGCCGGCCCCTCAAATTAAATTTTAAAACTCAGTATCAAAAATGTCCCATTTTTCTAAAATGTTAAATTCTTTTGAAATAAGTGGCAGAATAGGTGTCAGTGTGGGAGGGCAATTATTTATATAACTCTGAATGGATGCATTTCTGAGGAAATGTTCCTTTTAGTGATCCCTAGAAACCAATCTATTCAAGGTATTGGTTAATTCTTTAATAACTAAGTGAGCTACCTATGGAGCAAAGAAACTACTGTGATAAATGTTTTTTTTTTTTTAAGTCTATTCCTTGCTTGTTCTCTTTGTTGTCTTTCTTTTTTAACCTGAGCTTACATCTGTTGCCAATCTTCCTCTTTTATTTCTCTCCCAAAGCCCCAGTACATGGTTATACATCCTAGTTGTAAGTCATTCTAGTTCTTCCATGTGAGCCACCACCACAGCATGGCAACTGACAGATGGGTGGTGTGGTTCCATGACCAGGAAGTGAACCCAGGCTGCCCAAGCAGTAAGCACCAAACTTAACCACTAGGCAACCAGGGCTGGCTCTGTGATAAATGTTTAAAGTATCTAAAGGAAGATTGCTTTTAATAAACATAAGTAGAGAACTTCAGGATATATAATTTGCTGATCCTATTACAAGAAACCACTAGTAGCATTATGTAGCCAGTTATCACCTGGCATTTAAAAAATTCCCTTAGTCACAGCTTTAAGTAAAACATGTGCAATACATTTAGTTCCTCTGATATAAAAATAAAATATAAAAATTAGATTAGTTAACCTGTGTGTTTAGATTTTGGCTAAAATCATTGAAATCTTGGCGTCTGAATCTTTAGAGTAATATCTTATATTTTAACTATCCCTTGCCTTATTAAAATTAAACTACTCTGGTCATGTAGTGGCTTTTTTTCTGCACAATATCAAATTTAATTAATTTATTTATTTCTGTACCCTTTTACCACCCTCTTCCTATTTCCCCAAACCCCCAGCACCTGGCAACCACTTTTCTACTCTCTGTTTCTATGTATTTGACTTTTTTTTTAGATTCCACACATAAGTGATACCATACAGAGTTTGTCTTTCTCTGTCTGACGTTTCAGTGAGCATAATATCCTTCAGATTCATCCAAGTGTCACAAATGACAGGGTTTCCTTCCTTCTTAAGGATGAATAATTTTTCACTGTATGTGTGTGTGTGTCTGTGTTTGTGTGTGTGTGTATACTATATTTTCTTTATCTATTCATTCGTGGATAGACACTGAGGTTGTTTCCATATCTTGGCTATTGTGAATAATGCTGCAATAAACCTGGGAATACAGATATCTCTTTGAGACATAGTTTCATTTCCCTTGATATATACCTAGAAGTTGAATTGCTGAATCATATGGTAGTTCTATTTTTGATTTTTTAAGGAACTTCCATACTGTTTTCTGTAATGGCTATCCAAGTTTACATTCCCACCAACAGTGCACAAGCATTTTCTTTTCTCCATATCCTCGTCAGCATTTATTATCTCTTATCTTTTTGATAATAGATATCCTAATTGGTTTGATGTGATATCTCAGTGCATTTTTATTTGCAGTTCCCTCATGATTAGTGATTATTGGGAGAAAAGATTCATATTCATGATGATATTTCAGAATAATGGGACATTTAAAAGTTTACACCTGAGGGGCTGGCCCTGTGGCCGAGTGGTTAAGTTTGCGTGCTCTGCTGCAGGCGGCTCAGTGTTTCCTTGGTTCGAATCCTGGGCGCGGACATGGCACTGCTCATCAAACCATGCTGAGGCAGCGTCCCACATGCCACAACTAGAAGGACTCACAACAAAGAATATACAACTATGTACCGGGGGGCTTTGGGGAGAAAAAGGAAAAAAATAAAATCTTTTAAAACAAAAGTTTACACCTGAATTGGTGATTGTCGTAAATATCTCAAAAGTAGGTGTAACATTAATCCTTAATTTTATGTAATGCTTAATACTAAGATTATATTATCAGAAGAATTAAATAAATGTATTAAAAGATTTAAAAATTCCATAAACAAACCTAGAATAGAAAATATAAGCAGAACATGATAAAAATGTGATATTAAAGTAGATAATAACTTAGGAAGTAGATACCACTTCTTATGCACTTGGTGGATAGGCCAAGTACCAAGTGATTCATACAAAATTTCCTACCTCAATAAAATGTATCCACTTGTGGTTAATATATGTCAAGGTCCAAGACAGACTAGGAGAGAACCTGTATCAATTTATCAGCATCATTTATGGAAAATGTGTGTAGTGTTGGCTTGCAGCTGGTTACCATTATATTTGTTTGGTTTCTGCTGTTGAATTTGGTCATGCAGCCTGGTTTGACCATATAAGAGATTTAAAGATGCATTCTTCAGACGATTGTATGGCTTCCCTATAACCAAGAGATCTCATGGGTTTTTTGGTCATCAGAATCTGAAGATGAAGTGCATCCTGCATGACTGAGAAAGGACCCTGTGAGTTGCCTGCGCTTTGTCTTTCATGATTGTGCTGCGCTTTACCTTCACTAAAGCTTTATGTGAGTATACCCCGTGGAGTTTCATAAGTCTTTTAATTTACATAGTACTATGTAACTGCATGTAGCAATACCATTGTGCTTAGTTTACAAATCTAAAATATGGATAATTCTCGCTTTATAGTTAGGAAAAACAAAAGAGTGCCCACTATCACTGTTGCAACTGAATATTATTCTGAAAGTCATGGGAAGTGCAACAAAAAATGAAATAGAAATGCAAGATGCCAAAATTACAATTTCTTCTGAAACCATGGTTGTACGTACCAAGAAGATTTCAAAGAATCAACCGCGAAAACTCAAATTTGGGAGCTCTCAACAAAGTGGCCTATGTTTGGAGTCCCCAAGATCACCCTCATATCCAGTGATTCACTAGAAGGACTCATAGGATTCAGAAAACAGTTATAGTCATGTTGCAGTTTATTACAAAAAAAAAAAAAGAGATTAAAATCAGAAAAGGGAGAAGATGTATGGGAGAAAGTCCAGAAGAAACTAGGCACAAACTTCTGAGGTTCTTCTCCCAGTGGAGTCACGTGGACATACTTATCTCCCAGCAAGAATGTGTGACAACACGTGCAATGTGTTGCCAATTGAGGAATCTCACTTGAGCCTTGGTGCTCAGAGTTTTAATTGGGAGGTCAGTCACATAAGCATGCAGCAACTGTGTGTTGTTTTTACTGTTGTTTTTGAATTAACTGATTTCTCTTATGAAAATATCCAATTTTTTTAAATTTAATTTTTATTGAGTTAATGATAGGTTACAATCTTGTGAAATTTCTATTGTATATTACTGTTTGTCAGTCGTGTTGTAAGTGCACCCTTTCATCCTTTGTGCCCATCCCCCACCCCACGTTTCCCCCAGTAGCCACTAATCTGTTCTCTTTGTCTGCATTTTTAAATTCTTCATATGAGTGGAGTCATAAAGAGATTGTCCTTCTCTATCTGGCTTATTTCACTTAACATAATTCCCTCAAGTTCCATCCATGTTGTTGCAAATGGGACGATTTTTTTCTTTTTTACGGCTGAGTAGTATTCCATTGTATGTATATATACCACATCTTCTTTATCCGATCGTCTGTTGATGGGCACTTAGGTTGCTTCCACATCTTGGCTATTGTAAATAATGCTGCAATGAACATTGGGGTGCATGGGACTTTTGGAATTGCTGACCTCAAGCTTTTTGGATAGATACCCAGTAGTAGGATAGCTGGATCCTATGGTAGTTTTATTTTTAATTTTTTGAGGAATCTCCATACTGTTGTCCATAGTGGCTGCACCAGTTTGCATTCCCACCAGCAGTGTATGAGGGTTCCTTTTCCTCCACACCCTCTCCAACATTTGTTACTATTTGTTTTAGTTATTTTTGTCATTCTAATGAGTGTAAGGTGATATCTTAGTGTAGTTTTGATTTGCATTTCCCTGATGATCATCGATGATGAACATCTTTTCATGTTCCTATTGGCCATCCATATATCTTCTTTGGAGAAATGTCTATTCATGTCTCCTGTCCAATTTTTGATCCAGTTGTTTGATTTTTTGTTGTTGAGTTGTGTGAGTTCTTTATATATTATGGATATAACCCTGCGTCAGATTTATGACCTGCAAATGTTTTTTCCCAGTTAGTGGGTGGTTTTTTTGTTTCAATCCTGTTTTCCTTTGACTTGAAGATGCTCTTCAGTCTGATTAAGTCCCATTTGTTTATTCTTTCTATTGTTTCCCTTGTCTGAGAAGACATGGTGTCCTTTTAGTACTGATGTCAAAGAGTGTACTGCCTACATTTTCTTCTAGAAGCCTTATGGTTTCAGGTCTCACCTTTAGGTCTTTGATCCATTTTGAGTTTATTTTGGTGAATGGTGAAAAAGAATGGTCAATTTTCATTCTTTTACTTGTGGCTTTCCAGTTTTCCAGCACTATTTGTTGAAAAGACTTTGTTTTCTCCATTGTATGCCCTCAGCTCTTCTGTCAAAGATTAGCTGTCCATAGATGTGTGGTTTTATTTCTGGGCTTTCAATTCTGTTCCATCGATATGTGCACCTGTTTTTGTACCAGGACCGTGCTGTTTTGATTACTGTAGCTTTGTAGTATGTTTTAAAATTCGGGATTGTGATGCCTCCAGCTTTGTTCTTTTTTCTCAGGATTGCCTTACCAATTCAGGGTCTTTTGTTGCCCCATATGAATTTTAGGATTCTTTCTTCTATTTCTGTAAAGAATTCATTGGGATTCTGATTGGGATGGCATTGAATCTGTAGATTGCTTTAGGTAGAGTGGACATTTTAGCTATGTTTATTCTTCCAATCCAAGTACATGGAATGTCTTTCCATCTCTTTATGTCGTCATTCCATTTCTTTAAGAAAAGCCTTGTAATTTTCATTGTATAGGTCTTGCACTTCCTTAGTTAAATTCACTCCGAGGTATTTTATTCTTTTTGTTGCGATTGTGAATGGTATTGTGTTCTTGAATTCTTTTTCTGTTAGTTTGTTATTAGAGTATAGAAATGCTACTGATTTATGTAAATTGATTTTATACCCTGCAACATTGCTGTAGTTGTTGATTACTTCTAAAATTTTTCCAATGGATTCTTTGGGGTTTTCTGTATATAAGATCATGTCATCTGCAAACAGTGAGAGTTTCACTTTTTCCCTCCCTATTTGGATTCATTTTATTCCTTTTCTTGCCTAATTGCTCTGGCCAAAACCTCCAGTACTATGTTAAATAAGAGTGATGATAAAGGGCATCATTATCTCGTTCCTGTTTTCAGGGGGATGGCACTCAGTTTTTGCCCATTGAGTATGATGTTGGCTATGGGTTTGTCATATATGGCCTTTATTATGTTGAGGTAGTTTCCGTCTATCCCCATTTTGTTAAGAGTTTTTATCCTAAATGGCTGTTTGATCTTGTCAAATGCTTTCTCTGCATCTATTGAGATGATCACATGGTTTTTATTCCTCAGTTTGTTGATGTGGTGTATCACGTTGATTGACTTGTGGATGTTGAACCCTCCCTGTGTCCCTGGTATGAATACCACTTGATCATGATGTATAATCTTTTTGATGAATTCCTGAATTTGGGTTGCCAAAATTTTGTTGAGAATTTTTGCATCTATGTTCATCAGTGATATTGGCCAGTAGTTCTCCTTTTTCACAGGCTTTGGTATCAGCGTGATGTTGGCCTCGTAGAATGTGTCAGGAAGTGTTCCATCCTCCCTAATTTTTTGGAATAGCTTGAAAGGGATAGGTATTAAATCCTCTCTGAAAGTGTGGTAGAATTCCCCAGGAAAGCCATCTGGTCCTGGAGTTTTATTCTTTGGGATGCTTTTGATTGCTGTTTCAATCTCTTTCCTTGTGATTGGTCTGTTCAAATTGTCTGCTGCTTCTTGACTAAGTTTTGGGAGATTGTGAGAGTCCAAGAATTTATCCATTTCCTCTAGGTTATCCATTTTGTTGGCATGTAGTTTTTCGTAGTATTCTATTATAATCTGTTGTATTTCTGCAGAGTCTGTTATTTCTCCTCTTTCATTTCTGATTTTGTTTATTTGAGCTTTTTCTCTTTGTTTCTTTTTAAGTCTGGCTAGGGGTTTGTCAATTTTATTTATCTTCTCAAAGAACCAGCTCTTTGTTTCATTGATCCTTTCTACTGCCTTTTTTGTTTCAATAGCATTTATTTCTGCTCTCATTTTTATTATTTCCCTCCTTCTATTGACTTTGGGCTTTGTTTGTTCTTCTTTCTCTAATTTGGTTAGGTGTAGTTTAAGATTGCTTATTTGGGGTTTTTCTTGTTTGTTAAGATGTGTCTGTATTGTGATGAATTTTCCTCTTAATACAGCTTTTGCTGTATCCCATAAGACTTGGTATGGCATGTTATCATTTTCATTTATCTCCAGGTATTTTTTGATTTCTTCTTTAATTTCTTCAATGATCCATTGCTTGTTCAATAACATATCATTTAGTCTCCACATCCTTGTGCCTTTCTCAGATTTTTTCTTGTAATTAATTTCTAGCTTTATAGCAATATGATCAGAGAAGATGCTTGTTATTATTTCAATTTTTTTAAATTTGTAGAGGCTTGCCTTGTTTCCCAACATATGGTCTATCCTTCAGAATGTTCCATGTGTGCTTGACAAGAATGTGTATTCTGTTTTGGGATGAATTGTTCTATATATGTCTATTAAGTCCAACTGTTTTAGCTTTTCATTTAGCTCCACTGTTTCCTTGTTGATTTTCTGTCTGGATGATCTGCCCATTGATGTGAGTGGGGTGTTGAGGTCCCCTACTATTATTGTGTTACTTTTGATACCTTCTTTTAGGTTTGTTAATAGTTGCTTTATGAACTTTGGTGCTCCTGTGTTGGGTGCATAGATATTTATAAGTGTTGTTTCTTCTTGACGAAGTGTCCCTTTGATCATTATATTTTGGCCCTCTATGTCTCTCTTTACCTGCCTTATTTTGAAATCTGTTTTGTCTGATATAAGTATTGTGACACCTGCTTTCTTTTGTTTCCTATTAGCTTGGAGTATTGTATTCCACCCCTTCGCTCTGAGCCTGTGTTTGTCCTTGGAGCTGAGGTGTGTTTCCTGGAGGCAACAAATTGTTGGCTCTTGTTCTTTAATCCATTTTGCACCTCTGTGTGTTTTTATTGGAGTGTTCAATTGTTTACATTGAGGGTGATTATTGATGCATGAGGGCTTAATGCTGTCATTCTGTCGCTTGTTTTCTGGTTTTCCTGCATTTCCTTTGTTTCTCATCCTGTGTGTTTTAGCCTACCCATTGACTTCTGCATTTTCTTCTGCTGGATTTCTTAGACTTTTCCTTATTTATGTTTTGTGTCTCTGTTCTGTTTTTTAGTTTAGTGGCTATCCTGAAGTTTGTGTTCAGAATTTCGTGTATAACAGTCCATTTTCTGGTGGTCTCTTACTTCCTTAGCCTAGACTGATTCAGTCCCTTTCCTGCTCCCCTCCTAAATTATTATTTTCATCTCTTATTCCAACTTGTATTGTGAGTTTGTGGTTA